TGAGGAGAGAACCAATAAGCTCATTGAGAGTTAAAGATTTTAAATTTTTAGCCTCGATGATCGCCGTCTTCTTTGATTGCCAAGCTTTTGGAAGAGAGTAGACTAACTTCCTCACAAGCTTCTCGTTTGGAATGATCTCTCCATATGCTTTGAGATCATTGACAATCGTGGAAAATCTGCCCGTCATAGCTTTGATATCTTCATCTGGTTTCATCCTGAAATTTTCATAGCTATGAGTTAGAAGACTAATTTTATATTCTTTTACCTAGTTTGTGCCTTCATGAGTGACTTGTAGTTTATCCCATATCTCCTTGGTTGTTGTACAAGATGAAACTCTGTCGCATTCATCCAGTCCAAAAGCACAAATATAATATAGATAGCCTTTGAGTTGAGCTGGAACATTCTTGTCTCTCCTTCACTCCACAATCTTGGATGAATGGAAGGTTTGATGTATCCGTCTTCTATGATATTTCATGCTCCCATGTCACTTGCTTGAATGAAGTACATTATTCTATTGAAGAAAGTAGGCTTGTTGACGGGTAATGAATCAAGACCAAAGTCGGAGTTTGAAGTAGAGGTCATTGATGACTTGATTATCGATATAACTCTTCTCGAATCGACTCAAGAGACGATTAAACCTTCAAATGAGTGAGGCTCTGATACCAATTGTTGATTTAATCGATCGATGAAATAGTCAAGAAGGGGGTGAATTGGCAATAAAAATTTTGGTGAAGTTTTTACAGAAAATTGAAAATATTTGCACAGCATTTAGAGTGGTTCGACTTTCTCAACCAAAGTCTATGTCCACTACCTTAGCTATCCACACTAAGGATTTTCCAACAAATTCACTAATTTATTCTTTTTTTTGAGGACAAAGAGTAACCTTATAACTCCCTCAAGAATTATACCCCAAATTCTTAAGAACACTCTCTCCCAAAGAGAAATACACAAATTTGTAAACTTACAGAAAAACCTCACAAGACAATATGTTTGCACAATTCTAGAACAAAGAAAAACACTCAAGAATGAATACAATTGAGTACAAGTAGTGTTCTTGAAAGCAAAATGAATATTGAATGAAAATAGGCTTGAAATGCTCAAACAACAAGTTTAAGACTTTCTCTTTGATTCTCTCTCTTTTCTTCTTGATTATTGTTTATCAATGGCTCCTAATTGTTTAAATACTCCTTGGATCATTTCTGAACATTGGGGATCATTAGTGGAGTCAACAGAGTTCTTATTGTGTGAAAACAATTAAATAAAACAGTTGGGAGCGTGTATGCATCGATGCATAGCCAAGGAGCATCGGTACACTATGTGTAAAATTCAAATATTTCGACCTTTATAAGACTTAGTGCATCAGTACACTAGGGGAACATCGGTACACTAATTACATTCGATGTTTCAAACAAGCCAGGAGTGCATCGATGCATGGTTGTGCATCGGTACACAAAATGCATTCGATGTTTCAAAATATTCAAGAGTGCATCGATGCATGGCTTGTGCATCGGTGCACTAAATGCATTCGAAGTTTCAATTAATTCAAGGGTGCATCGATGCATTGAATGGTGCATCGGTACACTACTTTGAAAAATTGATTTTTGGCTCAATTTTGGTTCGAAATACTTTGTAAAAATTGTTTCAAAAATATTTTAAGGTTAAAACACAATTTTACACTTTAGTAAGGATTAAAATTGATCTTTGAAAAACTTAGAGTAATATTTTGATATTCGAATGATTGAATCGAATATACTTTCAAAATGATTTGTAAAATCTTAAATTCATTCATATTTAATTTGTTATATCGAAACATCAAAATGTTTTCAACACATATACTATAAGTTACATATATTAACTATTGTTTATAGACTATATGTTAATGTTACATATATAATTTATATAAACTATTGTTTATATAAACTATATATGAATTATCAATTGTGTCTATACATATATAGTTTATAAAGTTTAGGATTTAGGTTTATGTTTTAGGGTATAGGGTTTAAGGTTTTTATAAAGTATATATTTTATTACTTTATATAGTTTATGCATAGTATATATATAATATATATATATATATACTATATTAATATAAACAATATTTTATAAACTATATACTTTTTATAATTTATACATATATAATATATATACATAGTTTATATATATAGTTGACATAAACATAATTTATATATATAGCTTATAATAATTATATAGTTTATAATATAAATATAGTTTATATATAAACTTATATTATATATATATATATATATTTTTTAATTTTTTAAATGAATGCAATTTATTATATTTTTCATTATTTCTTCACATTTTGCATTTATTTAGATTTAATCCTTTTGTTTTTTTAATTTATTTCAATTTTAAGTCTTTCACTTTTATATGTATTCAATTTAGTCCTTAAATTTATATTTGCATCTTCATTTGGTCTATTGTTAGTTGTTATTTATTTATATTTTTGTAACTAACCCATAATTTTTTAATGTGTTTAATTTAATCCTTTTTATATTAATTTAAACCTCATATTTTTAATTTATTTCGATTTAGTCCCTTACCTATGTGTGTTGTTTAATTTATATTTTAAAATTTTATTTGTAATTTTACATTTCTTCAATTTTCTCATTAAATTTATATTTTTTACAAAATTGATCTATGAATATTTATTTTTCTATTAATTTACTCTGAATCATATTAAATTACAACTTGCAATTCAACAATCACGAAAGATGAAAAATAATTAATCCAAAAATAAAAACGATCGGACCTGAACTCAATCTGTATCCGATAAACATCCGACCTGAATTTTATTTGTCAATGATGTGACCCGATCTGAACGATATCCGACTGAAGTCTACCCGAACCTGAATTAACCTGGTTTTATCTGCTTCGGACCTGAACTGTTTTTACCTGAACTGACATCGATCCGAACTGAAAATGACCCTACATGAACTCGATCTGGATCTGGTGTCAAATCAACCTGAAAATAACTCGAACTGATTTGACCCGTACCCAACCTGATCCGAGTCAAACCAACAAATTAACCTGAGTTGACTTGTACTCGATATTACCCGACCTGCCAAAATCTGACTGAAATTGTCCGATTACCTGATTTTACAGCCATACTTAAAGGTTCTGAGAGCGTGACAATAACAAGCCAATGAAGAACAAAAAATAAAAAGAAAAACCCAATTTTGTTTTGTTCATGTTGTGGCCATTCCAAGTGGTCCAAAACAAATGGAAAGAATTCAGCAATGATAAAAAGGAAATGGGCAAGTAAAATCCAGACAAAATCCAATATTGCAAGCAAAAATGTAGAGAGAGAGAGAGAGAGATAGTGGGGAAGGAGAAAATTGTTAGAAAACTGGTCGGTGGGTGTGTTAGAAGACATCCGAGGGACCTCAAAACAATGCTGGAAAAAGGAAGCTTAATTTAGTTTCCGATCGAGGAAACCAGAGAGAAAGACGATACTAAAGAAAAAGCAAAAATGAAGTTAACGGGCAATGTGATTCATATTTATATCTGAATTAAAAAATTAAATATACAAATGGTTCCGATTATACAATGTTTTTCTATTGAAACTTTGATTATTAAAATTTATAAAATGATATATTAATTATATAATATTATTTCGTTGAATTATCATATTATTAAAAATTATAAAATAATCATTTAACTATTTTTTTTTTGTAAGTGAAGGGTACTAATAAGGATATTTTTGCACCAAGTCTGATGGGATAGTTCGTGGTAGTGATTATAATATACAAGATATTTTCATTAGAATTCAATGTTAAGTACTAACGATTGAGTTGATGGATTTCTCTTTCAGGGTGTTCAATGTGATTTTAAACATGAATCAATGTGATTATAATATACAAGATATTTTCATTAGAGATTCAATGTTAAGTACTAACGGTTGAGTTGATGGATTTCTCTTTCAGGGTGTTCAATGTGATTTTAAACATGAATCAATTAATCAAGCATTAAGCAGACAAGTGTTAGTATAAGTGTTGAGATTTAAGAATTTGAGCTTGTAAGTTCAAGTTCGAATTTGACTACTGTCATTCTTGATGGACAATCTATAAATTCTTATATGAATCTCAATTGGATCTTTGGTATACCCTGATCCTAGATTAGAGGAGTCCCTCCTAACCTAAACTTTTTTGTATAAAAAAATAATCAAGCATTAGATTAATTTAAACTGCCATCAACGACTGAGTTATGATCCAATATACCAAAATTTTAGGAGGAGAGCTTCATCCATGCATGTCACGAAGAAGATAAATCTTAATACTACATATGATAAAAAGTTTATAATGATGAGTGAAAAAAGAGGTTATATATCAAATATGTGGTTGTTGAGAAATCGATCGTAAGGATTGTTAGACGTATCGAGCATATATTCTATAGATTCAAGAAAAGATTGATCCAACTCTAAATGATATACATGCCATGAAGAACTTTTTAAATGTTTTTTTAAGGATCTGTATAACATTCTCAACTCGATTTAATCGAGAATCAGATAGAAGATGTATCAAAAATAAAAAAAAAAATCCAAAGCAAATAAACATTTAAAACACATAACATATCACATATTTATTTTAAGGCCTAAACACGCTAAAATTATCAATAATAAACATTTTAGGAGATGCATAATGATTAAGAATTAGATTGTAACTTTTCACAACATCAAAGACTACATTGTAATTAATCCAGAATTGAGGGCTAAACTGTAACTATAAAAAATATAAGGTGGTTCAAAAAATTTATTTTTAATATCTATTTGTCTATTAATAAATTGTTCTTTTCAAAATATGAATTTAAAAAAACATGAGGACCGAATCGGATATCATATAATAAAATTGTGGATTAAGGACAAAAATGCAGGAATTTGAAACTGGGAATGATAAAACTAGAAACTGGGAAAAGGTGAGTAGCATATAAGAAGTTTACAGTACAAAATAAACCAATTTCCTTATTAGCAGCTCAAAAACCCCCGGAGTTCAGTTCCTTCGCAGTTCTAAAATCCTCGTCTCCGGCCATTTGCGGAGAAGAAGAAAATGATGATCACCGTTTCCAAACGAACAGTTTCCTTAGCCTCCAGGCGAATATTGACGGTCTCCTTGCAAACTCTTCTTAACCACTTCCACTCAACAGCAGCTTCAGTCGCCGCCATAAATGGTGAGCCTCTTTTTATTGACAGATTCAAACCCTTCTCTTCCTTTCTAGGTTCCACCGCAAGTGGTTTCCACACCCAATCCGGGACGTTGAGTTTCAGTGTATCGCCGAGCTTGCAGGCGAAGTGTGCCGTCGAGGATTATGATGAGGAGAAGGGAGGAGGTGACGGGCTTGAGATTTCTAATCTGGGTATTGCTCCGGAGATTGTTTCCTCTTTGAAAGATAGAGGTATCACCAAATTATTTCCTGTTCAGGTAAAATCATATACATATTGGCTTACGTTATAATTAAGTACCTAAAGTATATTCTTATATACCTTTGGTCGAAATAATTAGCTAAACATGTCATTTCGGTAAATTAGATATAACTAAAGTATTTTTTTTTGTTGTCAAAATAGGTAGTTAAAGTACCTAAAGTATAGTCTTATATACCTTTGTTTTAGGCTTTAGTTTTTAAAGAAATATTAGAAGTTAATATTCCTGAGAGGATTTTTCGTTTGTTTTCTACTGTAGAGAGCAGTTTTGGAACCGGCAATGCAAGGAAGGGATATGATTGGACGGGCTAAGACAGGGACGGGCAAAACGCTTGCCTTTGGGATTCCTATCATGGATAAAATCATTAGATACAATGCCCAATATGGGTTTGTGCACTTTATTTCTTTCTCTTACTCTTAGGCTTTGCTTGGACGGAAAAATGAAAGGCCAGAAAATCGGGAAAGGAGAACATTAAGGAGAAAAAGAGATGAAAACATGTGCAAACACACATTTTCTTTCTATTGCTGTGCTTGGTAGGAATGATGAAAATTTTGAAAGAAAATGGAATATAATTTCTGCCCAATTAGCAGTGTTGAAAAATTAAAAGGATGTAGATGAAAAATATATTATTTTAACATTATATCATTTTGCAAGTTAAGATGGTAAATCTAAAATCTAAACATGATAGTCAATCTTGTAATTATGCAATACTTTCTCACACCTCTCCCCATTTCTATTCTCGTAAAAAGGGCTTTGGTTGTATAAATGGCTCTTTTGCATTGCACAATCTATTATTTTGCTTTTATCAGGAATGTTATTTTGCTTTATGCTTTAGCCATTGTTCATGTAAATCAAATTGTAATAATATGATACTATTGTGATTTAGCTTTTTAATTCTTTTAGGTTTTAATAACAAACGTTGAGGAGGCATAAGGTAAAATAGCAAGCCAGTAGTCATACAGAACCTTATTGATTTAATTTGATTCTTTTACTCACACAAATGATTGATTTGTTTCTTGAATTTGGACAGTTTTTGTTCCCATTTTAATCATACCTGTCATTTTGTGTAAATGAGCAGACGTGGTAGAAACCCCTTGTGCTTGGTTTTGGCACCAACAAGAGAACTTGCCAAACAAGTTGAGAAGGAATTTCATGAGTCTGCCCCCAACTTGGATACTATTTGTGTTTATGGGGGTACACCAATTTCCAACCAAATGAAGCAACTTAACTACGGTGTTGATATAGCTGTTGGTACACCTGGACGCATTATTGATTTGCTCAAGAGAGGTGCTCTCAACTTAACAGAAGTTCAATTTCTTGTTCTTGATGAAGCTGATCAGATGCTTCAAGTTGGATTTGCTGAGGATGTTGAAACCTTATTGGAGAGGCTACCAGTAAATTGTCAAAGCATGATGTTTTCTGCAACAATGCCTAATTGGATCAGGAATCTTGCCCAGAAACAGTTGAAAAATCCATTAACTATTGATCTGGTTAGTGTTCATATATACTCATCAATCCCCAAACTTCATGTTTACTGTTTCTTGCTTCTTGTTACTTGTTCATACAATTTGTTTGTAGTATGGAAATTTAGGGATCTAAAAATCAATGCATGTAATGTTGAAAGTTGTGAAATCTGATTCCATTTGCTGCTGCTGATTTTTTTATGACAAAGATAGGCTGAAGTGAGAAAGACACACACAGAGGAATAGTTATTTCTTGTGACTTATATGCATCTGCAGGTTGGAGATTCTGATCAAAAGTTGGTAGAAGGAATTTCCTTGTATTCAGTTGCAGCTGATATGCATGGGAAAGCATCAATTCTTGGTCCTCTAATAACAGTAAGGGTCACGACAATAGAGTTTGTTTGTTTTTTCTGTTTGTCAGTTTTATTTTTTTGGTTTTTATTTCCGTTGTTTTTAATTTCAGTTTTGGACCAATTTCAATCACAGTCCGTATAGTTCTTGCTCAATTATCATTTCTTTTTCTCTCATCATCAAGTCTTTTTTCTCTCAGGAGCATGCAAAAGGAGGAAAGTGTATTGTTTTCACTCAAACAAAGCGTGATGCTGATCGACTGGCACATGCTATGGCAAGCAATTTTAAATGTGAGGCATTGCATGGTGATATTTCACAACTCCAGAGAGAGAGAACCCTCTCAGGCTTCCGAGATGGGCGTTTTAATATTTTAGTTGCTACTGATGTTGCTGCTCGTGGTCTTGACATACCTAGTGTTGACTTGGTTGGTTTTAGTTGTTATTCTTTTTCAAGGTTCTTACCCTTTTTTAGCTTGGTTTGTTAGAAACTGTAGCTATCTCTGTTGTTACCCATTATAGTTGTTATTACACGTCTTGTTGGTTGTTATCTTAGATGCGGTACCATTTTAAGGATAACCTACTTCTTATTGGCTGTATAATGTGAAATCCTAGAAAAAGTTGTGGCCTACATGATATATGGATTTCCTAATCACTATTGCTAAAAAATATTTAATGGCTTGTTGTAGCTGGTTTCAGTATTCTGCCTTTTCTGTTTGTAATTTCTTGCTGACCTATTACATAGGCCATGTCAGGATTATAGGGTACTAGTTGTAAGTGTTGAAATAATGCAAATTCTTTTAAAATACAAAGCTATGAGGGAAATAATTATACCGTTATTTATTGGTGATGGAGATGATTTTTCTAATATTTCTCTTTTGGAATCCATGACTATACCTACAATGGAAGTGCTTGTATATTCTAGGGTCATCTTGAAGAAGTCCTTTGACTTCTGCATGCATTGATACTGTGGATTCTCAAATTGCACTATATTGTTACTTTCCTTTCCCATTTTGTTTGCTACAGTTCATGGTTTAGCTGAAGTTACTGTAAAATAGTATATGAGGTCATATTTTCTCATAAGCTTATAGTATCAGGTCTTGGATGTTAGTAATTTATATAATGAATGGTTGAACTGTTTTTCAAGCAACCAACTTTTTTCCCCCATTAATTGAACTTTTGAAATGTATTTTATTATTCTTTTATTCTCACCCAGGTAATACATTATGAGCTTCCAAGTACTTCTGAAACTTTTGTTCACCGAACTGGCCGTGCTGGAAGGAAAGGTAGTGCCATTCTTATCTACACCCAGGAGCAGAGTAGGGCTGTTAGGGTTATTGAGCAAGAAGTTGGATGCAGATTTTCTGAGGTTGTATACTATATCCCTTGTGATGTGCTTGTTGTTTTCCTTCCCTTTTCTCGTTTTTTATTTGGGAGGATACATCCATATATGTATAGGGGATATTGAATGTTAGAAAAGTAAGGACATTTGAAATTTAAAGTGAAAGAGCTTGTCTTGGGGTTGGCAAAAGAAAATTAAATTTTGACACTCTTTCAGTCTTTTGGAAGTGGAGCTGGCCTATAAGTTAAACCTATTTCAGCCTCTTGTATTTTATGTATCAAAACTACTTTTAGCTGATCTTTATCATTATATACTTGTTCGGGGTTAATTATAATAGGCTTTGAAGCAAAGAACTTGCCAGCTCCTGCTCAAACTGGCTGGTATGTTTTTTATTTTTAAGCATTTTTATCCAAATGTCATTTTCCCGGGTAATTAAAGAAAGGGATCTTTTGTTTCTTCATAAATGTGACTTAGTTCCTATTGGTATTTGTTAAGGTGATGTTTCTCCTTGAATTTGGTGAGAATAGCTCATTAAATGGTGTTAATTTCCCGAAATAGATTTGTAATAAACTTTAACAAGTGTCTATAGGGTCTCATTACCAGACCCTTGTTTCTTTCCACCAGAGGGGAACACTATTTACCATGTGAAAACCAATGTCAGCACTAAAATGTGAAGTAAGATAAAGAAAGATACCATAGAAAAAGAAGAAAATCTGGAACTGCCTTTCCAATTTGGATCTGGTCCTCATTGGTTTAGTACATGATCTGGCTTTTAAATAGTTAAGAGAATGGTATATTCGCCTTGTTTGTTTGGGAGTTACAGTGGTATTTCTTTCTGGGGAAAACAATTTTAAGTGTTTGCATAACTCTAAGTCTCACCACATATTCTTGAGGGAATTGGCATAAGGTTGACAACTAGGGAATGTTTGTTTCACGTAAAATATTTTCTGGAAAACGTTTTCCTCATTTTCCAGTGTTTGGCGGGAGGAAAATTGGTTGGTCAATGTAAAATATTCTTGGTCAATAGAATTTCCTTTGTATTTTCTGGAAAATGACCTACGGTCTGATTTTTCCGTAAGTCATTTTCCAAACTTTTCAATTCAAAGAATAAATGCTCCAAATAATTTTATTTTATGAATTTAATATTAATATAATGTTTTAATATCATTTTAATTAAAATATTAATTATTAAAATATTTATAATATACTTATTAATATTTATAATAATATAATATTATATTTTTTAATATTATAATAATATATTCAATTATACTATAATAATATAAGATATTATATTTTTATTTTAATAATATATTATTAATATAATTTATATTATCTATTAATTTTATAGAAATAATATTATTAAATTATTAATAATGAATAATATTATTTATGTATTTAATATTTTAATAAAATATTTAAAATATATTGATTAATGCTTTTTAAAATATAATACAATATTATTATTTTAATAAATAATTAATATAATTTTTAATATTTTTATTTCAATAGAATGTACTAATCTTAATATTTTTATTAATAAAATTATAGAAATAATATTTTAATAGTAAATAAATAAATAAATATTTCAAAAATAATAATATTAAGTTTTTTATGATAAATAATAGTATTTATTGTATTTAATATTTATAATAAATAATTTTTAAAAAATTCATCAACTAGTGGAAAATGGTTTACACAACCTCTTTCAAATACCGTAAAACATTTTTCAAAAAATTTAATTTATTTTACAGAAAACTTTTTCCGTAAAATGTTTTCAGTGAAACAAACGGACCCTTAGTTTGTGAGGAAGGTGGAAATATTTGGGACTGTTTGTTAGCCATGCAATCGAGTCTCATAGGAGGTTTGTGATGTTTCAAAATGGATCACTGTCTTAGATTGATGCTTAAAGTATTAATTTGAATCTGTTGAACATGCTAGTTTCTGTTGTACAGGGATGATAAACTTGTTGTTTGGCTATAAAACATTTCGTTTTTAGTAAATTTTCTGTTCTTGCTGATACACATTCTGATCCAATTTCAGTTGGGGGATACTGGTTTGAATGATTTAATGACGTCAATTGTAGTCATATTTGTTGATGTGAATATACACAATAAACAAATTTCCACGTTTATGATTGTACGAGTATCGTACCTTAAAGATATTCATGGAGTAGACATTTATTGCTTTATTACTTTTTATGTTTTCGTGGACTGAGCTTATAAGCTAATCGTTTATTACATTATTGTAGCTTCCTAGGATTGAGGTTGAAGTTGGGAGCACCTACTTGTTCAATGAGATTGGTTTTGGTGGTCGATTTGGGTCATATGGAGGTACACGAGATCGCAGATACAAAGATATGGGTTTTGTCCATTCTGTTAGGCAGCAGGAGTATGGATTTGGCCGTCCTGGAGGCAACACGGGACCTGAATTTGGTCGTAATTTTGGTCAATTTTCTGATGAGATGGGTGGCTTTGCAGGGTGTAGCTCTAGTCGCTTTGGTTCTAATAATCGGTCTGGAAACTCTGGTCAATTTTCAGCTCTTGGTTTCTTGTGTTGTAGTAGAAAACTACCACTGCTTTGAATGTGAAATTGATAAGTCGGTCCATGGTACGGTTCTTATCCAAACTTGAGCTCATGGAAGAGCCTGCAATATATACATGTTAAGTAAATATATGATTAGCTTATAATATGGAAATGGCTAAGCCTTTTTCTGGCCGACACCTGCCTATAAATGATTTTCATCGATAAAGAACACTAATTTGTCATGATTTAGTTGGTCATTTTGCTTGCAATGATAATGAATTATATTTTCTTTTGGGGCCTTTGTTTGGCTGACGCCAAGTAGTCTATAAATGATTTTCATTGATAAAAACACTAATGCCTTCATGATGTAGTTAATCATTTTATAATTTGGTGGAAGGTAATGTGTTTTCTTCATTAATAGAATTATAAAGTTCGGCTGTTGTATGAGGCTCAACCTTCATTTTGCTCCATCACCCTTCTTTTGATAGCATATGTGCATTCAATGCATAAACATTATTCTTTTATCAGGTGCTATGTCTATTTGATTACTTACACATGCTAGACTGCTAAGATGCTGACTTCTTACACTTTCCCCTTTGCTATGTTTGTTATCAATCGGTGGTTGTGGCCTATCATACCTTTTTTGGTTTTCATGTGCTTCTATTTTGGAATGGCTGGGAAGACGGCACCACTCCATGACAGCTTCATACATTTGCTAGGTTGTTATAAACAGGCTGTTGTGGCCAATGATAACTTTGTTTTTTCATGTGCATTATATTTTCCAATGACAGGCGTAAAATATTGGGAAGATAATACTTGTATTTTTTTTCCATCAACATGATTAGTATTCTGTCACAGACTGTCAGTCCGTGAGCTGACCAGCTAGGACGCCTCCAGACCCTCTTGGGCCACCTTAAGACTCCACCAGCACCACCCTGGGCCACCATAGGAGCTTCAAGACCATCATGGGCACTCTAGCTAAGTTGGTCCGTTTTTTTTAATAATTCCTTTCTTTTATCTAATAATTTTTAATTTAGAATAACCATCTTTAGTTTGAATTCAAAATTAAGTTAATGTTAAGATTTATATAAGATTTCCTTTTAATCTTAGCCATTATATAATTCAGTTTCAACCGTTGAATGTAGGGAGCTTCAACTATAAATAGAGGCGTATTCCCACCTCATTTTTTCACTTCAGTTTTGAGTAATAAAACCTAGTATTTTCTCAAATTCACTTGTTCTTTGTTGTGAGCTATTCTCTTTCAAAGATCTTGTTACTCTTGCATTTTGATCTTAATCTTTCTGATTAGATTATTCTTGCTGACTCAGGCCATACGATTTCTAGTTCAAGGTTCTAGGGACGCGACTACAAGTAGAGCAGTCCAATAATATGTAAAGTAATGTTCTATATTATCATACATCAAATACAATATATATCAACCTTAATAAGAGTATAGTTATTAATTATGTCCAATCGACTTATTACGTAGATAATCAATTTTTACCATTATGAGTCTTTGAAAAAATATTTTCTCATCATTCTTTAATTTTCATTTAGAAGAAATGTGAAGCGCAATATGATTTAACGGGAATTCAGCTCTCGCTATGGTCCAAAATGACACTGTAAAATCCAACCTGGAACCACTTGTTACAACAGCAAGTGACTATGACCATTACCATGACTGTGACGCATCTGTCTTCAAGACACCCAAAATCATATCTAAAAGAGATCTATTATCTTGAGTCGTGTTCAAACCCTAAAAGGCCTTGTGAAACATTGAGCATTCTCTAGGGATTTTAGAGGAGGGAGCCACTAACAACGTTTTTCTCTTCTTTTGCGTTTTTCTGTGAATTACTCAACTTTTATTTTCTGGTCATGTTATAATCCACGATGAAAACATTAATTCAAATTAAGGAATATCATAATTAGTATATTTCTATAAAATAAATATACTTAAATTTAATCTTAAAACTAATTATTCTCAATTTTACAGCAAATACATTAGTTTGTTGTGATGGTTGTATTTTAAAAGGCTTGTGCTTCAAATCCTAATCTTTAAACTTATTTTTTCTCTCATTTTGTGGTCAATTCGATACTGACTGGTGACTGAAATGAATCTTTTTTTAATGTCCGTGACGAAATTGATAATGTTATAACAGTTTGAGTGACTCGATTGTAAGAATTTTTTGTTAATAAATTAATAGTGTAATGAAAGTTGGGTAATTTTGAGCAGTCTACCCTAAAAAAATATAATTTCGACTTTTGTATCATTTTTACTAGAATAAATATAATGGCTCTTCTAAATTGATATTGTGCATTGATTTAAGAGTTTGCTGAAGGATAATATTTAAGAGTTTCCACTTGTGGTAAAATACAATGTGGATGCTTGGATCTGCCAAGCTTCAAATGTAACACCCAATGTGCAATTGTGAGGAAAAATTATTAGACGGATCTGACTCACCTCGTCATCCTTGATCTCAATCAATAAGATCCGTTTCTGTTTATTTCTTCTTCTTTCAAGGTGAATCCTCACCACTTTCCTATATGTAAATAAGGAGTGGATAGTTTTATGGAAATTACTTTAAAAATAGCCATGGATGACATGGTGAATCGGATCCATCAAATAATTTCTCGAGGGTGAGGGATACAAATCAACAATCAAAATAAAAGAAAATAATTCAAAGCAGTCTCAATGATTTCCTTTTGGAAGACGGATACCAAAAGTTTAAAATAAAACAATCATTGGCTCCATAAAATAAAGGTTAACAGCTTCCCTAAAAACCATGTTGAATCATACAACATGTAACTTGAGAAAATGTCGAACAACATGCTCTAATTACGAAAATTCGAAGCTAGTTTCAAGACCAAAAAGCTTTTCGTGTCTTCACGCCTGCCTAAATTTACAGCTCAATTAACTAAACTTGAACTGGGATTCAAACTTCTCACCATACATATACATGTGTATGCATACATAGAGACAGACATATGGCAAAATGACATGCAGCATAGGCAAACCGAAGATAAAGACAACGACTTACATAATTGGTTTCTTGCTACAACTGGATCTAACATTGCTGGTCATTGCTGCAAGGTTGCGTTAATCTGCTGCTGTTGGCGGGGTTCTGTTCGTCGTCTTAATCGCCATCTAAGGTATTCCACGAGAAGAGAATTTGTACTAATTGCAATACTAAACCCAGTGAATGACGAAAGGAGGACTGAGAGAATTGGGTTCACAGCAAGCTACAAAAATCAAGGGAAGTACATTAGGAGCTTTACTCCGATTCATCCCATCGGAGCAAATTGATGCCGCTGATAATTGAAGCAAAAGGAATAGTAATACATTATACAGTAGATCATTGCTTAAGAAATCGGATTTAAACTCACTACTGTATAAAAGATATGGGCAAACAGGATGACCGTTGCAAACTGGAACGAAGCATATGCCCATATGTAACTCCTGCTCACTGCCATCATCAGATGCTGAAATTTAGCTACTTTAGGCAACGAAAAAAATAGTGGTGGAAGCTACAGGAAGCTCAAGGGAAACAAGAATTGGAACGAAGTTCGAGTTTTATGAGATTTGATTGTCTACATAAAAAGTAATTATGTTAGCTAGTTCACTGTTTTGTTTGGTTTCTCTAATTGACATATTTGACATCAAAACATAACATATAAGCTGTCTTTTTTTTTTTTTTGGTACTGGGTAAAGTAGATATCTCAAAACTGTTACAACAGAGTAACATAGTCAAATTGCTATGCAGAATGATGTTTAAGTAAAATTTCATAAAACAAAAATAACGAATAAACCTCAGCAAAGGAGAAAATATTTCCTTCCTAGAGGATTTCATGCAACTTTAGTTGTCTATGGAATTTAAAGGGTTTGAGGCACTTTTGTTGTTTTATGCAAATGCGCAAGACTCACGCATGCCCTAGATGTTTTCATTAGCAACACTGACCCAGGAGATCTTATCATGGTGACAAAATTTTAAAAATAAAATAGAACTAATGTCCGTAAATGGCAACATGTTAATATCCGGGTACTGAACCAGACAGGTGAATTGCTAATGACAGTTGGACTACCAATCTGATACACCAATTTTTCTTTTAACACGAATTAGGTGTGACACAATCAGGAGTTGGGGTGAGCAAAACTCGACTTGAGTCGAAAAATCAATTTTTTCAACTCAACTCAAGAAACTAGATTCGAATTTACTTTGAGTTGTAATTTCATAAACTCGACTCGAAAAATTTTCAAGTTCAAGTTGAGTTATAAAATACAACTCGAATAACTCGAAATTTTTAGTAATTAGTGGCTTGGTCTTCAAGTTTGAGCCGATTTCCTCGACTTTGTATGATATATGTATATCACATACGAAAAAATATATATGTATTGTATATGGTTATAAAAAAAACCATTTAAATTGGAATCAAATAGTATCATAATATTATAAATCTTTGCAATTAAATTAAACAGAAACTCGAAAACTCAACTCGAAAAAATTTCAAATCAAGTTTAAGTTATAAAATAGGATTCGTCAACTCACTCAAAACTTTTTGACTCTACTCAACTAGATCAAAAGCTCGACCCTCCAGGAGGGGCGAAGCCAAAAGTTGTATGAAGAGGGAGGGAGTACAATTTCACCATTATACTAAATTACAATTTCAAAAATCTTAAAATACTAAAGAAATTATTCCAATTGGGGGTGAGGGTAGTGGCATTGCCTTCCCCTTGCATGTGCCCCTGGCAACCAGGAGCAACAGAAATACCAAGGAAGCACCACTATAAAGTTTTACATTTTTCGCAATGTGTATGACTCGTACATTTTTTCCAATCAAGAAATGACATACTCACCCATTGTGGCAGCAATCGAAGAGGAAAGAAGACCTAAAGCACAGGAGAAGGGTAATGAGATGGCTAGAGCACGTGCACCCAAATTAGACACCTACATATGTTGAAAATTTTTAAAACCATAAATCAACTTGAACAGTAAAAGAAAATTGTTAAAAGCTAACTTTAAAATGGAAGAAAATGCCCAAAATACGCAGATATAAAAGCTTAAAAATGAACCATGCATGTTCAGACTTCTTATG